TCTATTTTGGTAAGTCTTGCTACACAGGGTGCAAATTTAAACTGAAGGTGTTTGATAGCTGTGAAAACATCTTTGCATAGTCACAACCGCAGTGCACAATGGTGGCAGGATTCCAAGGCCAAGCTATATATATATTTACATATGCAAAAACAAACACGCCGAACATTGAAGAGTGTCCGTAGTAGAATCCTTTGATCTAGAGCCTCTCTCCAGTTGCCACCGATGCAAAAAAAAAATAAAAAAATGGCGTCCCACATTCAAACAGGCCTCCATAAAGAGACAAATTTTGTTTCTCAATTCACTTGAACACGAGTACGGACCAGAGATGGCAAAAGTACTCACTTTCCGTACTTGAGTAAAAGTACAGATACTTGTGTTAAAAAATACTCTGGTAAAAGTGGAAGTACTGATTAAACTTCTTTACTCAAGTAAAAGTAACAAAGTACAGGCTTGTAAATTTACTTAAAGTATAAAAGTAAAAGTAGAAACCACTTTTTTCATACCGTTGCCTACATTTTAAATGGATGTCTGCCAATAGGACTAGATCTCCGTTGTGTTCATTTTCAATCATCTCGTCGTCCATGCTACTATGCTAACGCCACCGCCACCAAGCTGCAATGATTTGCCGCGAATGAATATCGCCGAATCTGTCGATTCATCTTGTAGTGGTGCGTCAAATGCAACGTAGATTGAATTTGGTATTGATGACGTGAAAAATAATAACGGTAACTCCATTGAAATGATTCAAAACTAAAGTAACGAGCCAATTTTTTAAAATGTAAGGAGTAGAAAGTACAGATATTTGTGTAAAAATGTAAGGAGTAGAAGTAAAAAGTCGCCATAAAAATAAGTAGTAAAGTAAAGTAAACATATCAGAAACATCTACTTGAGTACAGTAACGAAGTATTTGTACTTCGTTACTTCCCATCTCTGGTACGGACTCATGTCCTCACCAAGTATGCTCTTGAGAAGAACACAGGGAAATGTGGACTGGGAGCACGCAGCATAAATATGGGTCAATCGGAACAGTAGCGTACCTTGCCTCGTCTGTTCCTGTTTGGTTCCATCCTGGAGAGAAATATCAGCTGTGCTGCTGCCATCAACACCTTTGATTATAGTTATTGGAGATCAGCCTGTTTTTCAGTGTAGTCCTGTTTCTCTGACTGTGACTAACTGGATGTGCTCTCTTCATCCTCTGACATGGGAGCTGGCTCGGAGCTCGTCTGCCTGGCTGTGTGTTTCCTGGACGGGGCCGCCTATTACAGCTGCTTTTTCTATGTCTGCTTCTGTCTCCTTGAACCCCATGGCATGAAGGGGAGGACTGTTGTTTTGAGATCCATCTGGCCGGTGAAACATATATTAACTTAAAAGGGAACGGCCTTGATCAACTCAAGTTGTTTTTCCTCCAAATGTGAGAAAGTTCTTTATGCAGGGGGTTAGTTGGTTTCCCCGGGGTGAGTGTGCGTGTTGGGATTTTTAGTAAGGTATAAATATATGTACTGAGGTTTCCTCAGTCAGAGCCCTATCTCTCCGTGTGTGGACGCTAAATAAATCTGAACCTTTTTCCTTGCAAGAAATGTCTCTGTCTCAGCTTCCTAACTTCACACCTTTTATCAGCTGACTGGGCATTGCCTCGGGTCTCAACCCAACAATGGCGCCAACAGAAAGGAGATGTCAAATCACCACAGCGCTCAAATACAGCAAACTTAGCCAAAATATTAAGCATGCACACCCAACACTCTAGTAGATATGTAGCCTGGGTGCCATTCCGAAATTAGTCCCGCCCACAAGGTTTGAGGTCGGGAAGTTCGGTCTGGCATTGCTCCATAGTAGCGCAAGCATGATCGCACACTCTCTGGCGATCCAATCAAATTGTCAGGGCGGGCTTTATACGATGATGGACAGATGATCAACAGTAACGAAATCAACCATGTGACCAAAGCGCGCTTGGGTGACAACAACAATGGCTGCCGCCGGAGAGTTGAGGTGAGTAGATTCTGCTATTAGGTCTGTTCTAGAAGATATCGACAGCAAATTAATTTTAAAAGAGGAACAGAGAAACGCGATCAAGGCTCATCTTCTTATTCTAGACGTGAAACTGCACGCTTTGATTTTTGTTGACAACAACTATGCGTTGCTTAACATACGTCACGCACTCCGTTGCTCTTATCGGTTGTAGGTCTATCCAAATGAGTGCAGAGGCATTTTTTTTCCTGGTTCGTTCAAAACACGCCCCATAATCACAGCTCTATGGAGCAGTATCAGACTCATATTCTGACTAGAATTGAGTAGGACTACGTCAGGCTAGTAGATATGTAGGTTCAGCCTAAAATCATCCTTCAAGATGATAAAAATAAGTCTAAAGCTCAAATATTCAATCACAGGACCTGCTATCGATATGAAACTGCATGTCTTTACAGTCATTAATAAATACCACAAGTCAAAGAAGCTCATAAGTAACTTTTTTCCAGGATCTGAGCCACCATGGATAAAGACAAGTAGGACTGATTTAAAGCACTTTTTAGGAAAAGCAAAAAACAATGAAGAATCTGGGATTCACGTGGAAAATAACAGAATGTAGTCTACTTTTTCTTACTTTTTGTTAACTTGCATAGTTGCTCATAAATAAACACATTCTCAGGAAATAAATAGTTTCATATATTAAAAAAATATAAAGCTGACTAATGGCTTCTCCATTATTAACCTGGTACATAATTTTTTTAGGTTTGTGACACAATATTGGACCAAAACACAGATTTGCCTTCACAAAGCCTCAGAAGGGCAAGATTTATGTACAAAAACTAAACCTGTAGTTAAAACTATGTTCTGTTTTTATAATGTTTTTTGTTGTTAGCATTCATATAAATATACTGGTGTATATTTTGAATTTATAGCCCCCCCTGGAGAAAACTCCACCAGCTGCCACTGATTTAACTAAAAAAATGGAACAGGAAGTGCTTTTATTTTGATATTCCAGCTGGGAGTATTGAGGCAGCTGGCTTAGTAGCAAGAAAACGTCAGATATAATTTAACTTTATTTTGCCTTCTAAAGTCCTCCACTGAAGCATTGAGCTGGAGGGATGTTGATGTGCTCTTTACTATGAGGCGACAGCAAACAGGAACAGACTGCTTTGCCACCGCAAGATCAGACCAGTTCATCGTCGTGGTAACAGCCATGAATTCTACTGAGCAGGAAAGGTTTCTCTCTTTATCAGATGATATTGTCCCAAAATTTAGAAAATGCTATGTCGCATCAAGATGCTAGGAATGATCAAGAATAGAAATTATCATTCCAAATTTCAGCTATCTTTTAATAGACTGTACCAGCAGTGTCCAAAGGCATAATATAAATAGCTCTACAGTTTCCTTGGTTTATTGGTTATGTTTGACTGCTGGTAAAACCTGTAGATCTAAAGCATTTGTACTCGTTATTGTAAAGATTATAAAGGAAACCACTTCAACAGCAACCAAAGGCTACGTTCACACTGCAGGCCTTAATGCTCAGCTCAGATTTTTTTGTGAAATATGATTTTTTTGCGTTGCCCTTCGCATTTCCTAATATATATCCGACTTGAATGTGATCTCCTGTGTGAACTGCATTCTTACAACGCATGTGTCACACATGTGCAGTAGAGCAGCGGTCCCAAACCTTTTTTGCGCCACGGACCGGTTATATGTTAGACAATATTATCACGGAGCGGTCTTTAAAGTGTGGAGGGTAAATACGATCAAATAAAATGATACGACTGTCTTAAAATCAAATAGGAACATCATAAAAATAATACTCACCATTATGTTGAATTAGTGGGAGCTCTGAGCTTGTTTCTCTGAAACAAGCCGGTCCCATCTAGGCTTAATTGGAGACAATGACACACAAAGTGTGCTCCTAATGTCCTATCTGCTCCGTAGCTTTGTTTTGGTCGCTGTAACCGCAGAAAATCCCGGTACCAAATGACCGATGGACCGGTACCGGTCCGCGGCCCGGTGGTTGGGGACTAGCCTCGTGAGACCATCCTGATCTCACGAGCTTTCAAGATTTCACTCGCTAATCAGTCTGGAGACTCTCCGTTTAGAGTAGTTCACCAAACGAATGTCCAATCAGCGTTGGCTTTGAGGCGGGTTGAGGTGTGACGCAACGAGAAGCGCAACAGTTCAGTCTAAAGAAAATGGCGGCTTCAGCCGATGAAACTAGCGTTAGCGTGGCTATCGAGCAAGTTTTATGGGAATTACAGAGTATTTCTTCACTGAAAGAAGAGCAAAACACTGCTCTGGAGGCTTTTCTCAGAGGAAAAGATGTTTTTGCTCTTCTCCCGACTGGTTTCGGCAAGAGTAGCCTGGCTTGTGGTTGTGTTTTCGTCGTCGCTCTGTTAGTACGTCATATGCTTCGTTGATCTGATTGGTTTATTTGGCCCGTCTATCACCAACATAGGCCAATCAGCTAACCAGTATTTTCGCCCCTTCCCAAAATTACTTCAACGGAAGGTTTCCAGATGGATATGCAGAGCAAATCCATCTGGCGGAGTCAGGTTAGTTGGGGACCGCTGCAGTAGAGGACATAATGACATCACAAGCCAGCATGCTCCGTGTTTACAGAAGTAAATATGGATGGTAGTGCTAGAGCGTCATCTAGCGATCTTTCCATTTTGTTAAACCTAAATACTACTGTACTCTCCGCATCATCGTCCGCCATGGTTGTTGTTTTTCTTGCCGCTTCCGTGTTACAGACGCAGCATGGAGACCTACGTATGTCAGGTATTAATGGCGTACAGGTCAGGTCTCATTTAAAAAAGAACAGATTCGTATCGGATTCAGGACTACAGAGCCAAGTGGCCCGGGTCACATTGGAAAAAATGGTATCTGAGTTGTTCAGACTCTCATGAAAAGATCAAATACAGTTTTCGTGTGAGCAAAAACATCTGATTTGGGTCACTGCAGGCTGCTGAACGTAGCCTTAGATCTACCAAAGCAAACAAAATTCACAAGTCCACAAACCGACTTACCCGAGGCCTCTTCCAGACGACACGTCCGATCCTGTTGCCCTGGTAAAAAAGCGAGTCATCAGTGGCGGGGAAGCGGGGGTCTTCAAACAGGAGGCCGCTCTGCAAGCACTGCCTCTTCAGGGTGGAGTACTGCTGCCCCTCAAAGGCCTTCACGGAGGTAAACATCCTTCAGCCCTGAAAGGAAACAGTAAGATGACAAAAAGGAACAACAGTCAGATTGTTTTTCATGCAGTGCATCCTCCACACAGCAATACTCGACATTACAACATCCCACACATGTTGCTTTACTGTCCTCTACCTTCATCTACATACACAGTACAGCATTTTCCTTTATAATCCAAGCAGCACTGTTGGCCTGAGTGCGGCCTCTATTCACTGGGTTAAACTGATTAATCTGTCAATTCAATGATATCCTCTGGGGCCTCATTATCGCTGCTATGCATCGAAGGAGCTATGCACACATTGATCAGCTCAGGGCACGCAGAGGGACTGGTGAGGCAGGATGGAGGGGATAATCAATACACAGACATTGAATGAATGACAAATTTTGCCACTGAGAGCTTGTAGCAGAGCAGCACAGGCCTTAGACAGTGACCTTGCTGATTCCACCACTACATACATGATGAAGACAACGCCATCCTCATTTATATATGCACATTAAGAAGCGCCTGGTGGAGGCTAAGATGGCAGCCTCATAATATTGATGATGCAGGTTAAAATACCCATGGCAGGGATTCATTAGCAAGCATAACACCAAAACATTATTTACTTTATAAGATAATAGCTAAGCTAAAAAAATTCCAAGGTTCTGGTTCTTTTGCAAGATTCAACCTATCGATCCTGTTTTAGCATTGCAGACTAGAAACATTTAGAGCTGGGGTAACCAATTAAAAATCAACAGGGTCCATATTAAGAAAATCACCAACCAGTAAAGGTCTGCAGATATTTTTAATTATAATCAGTTACTTTAAACAGAACTAACGCTGAAATAAAATGCAGGTGTTTATGCATCCATGTTATACATTGACTTAGCCTGTTTTTCAGTGTAGTCCTGTTTCTCTGACTGTGACTAACTGGATGTGCTCTCTTCATCCTCTGACATGGGAGCTGGCTCGGAGCTTGTCTGCCTGGCTGTGTGTTTCCGCCTTTTGCAGCTGCTTTTTGTATCTCTGCTTCTGTCTCCCTGAACCCCAGTCGGCCTCAGCAGATGGCCGCTCACACTGAGCCTGGTTCTGCTGGAGGTTTCTTCCTGTTAAAAGGGAGTTTTTCCTCTCCACTGTCGCGACATGCATGTTTAGTGTGAGGGATTGCTGAAGAGTCAATGATTCGATGCAATCAACTGGTTTTCTTTAGATAGAAAACTTTGAATCAATCAGACTGGATGATCTGGTGAACTATACATGTTCACCAGATTAATTCACAACATGTGTTCTGAATTGGGGCTATAGAAATAAACTGAATTGAATTGGCTTTTTGTATAAAAAAAAAAAAAAAAAAAAAAAAACATTTTAAAACCTAAAAACATTAATCTTTCAGTTTGGTAAAAAGAGAATTTCGTGACTCACTTTTTTTTTTTTTTAAAACACCTGAACCGACCATTTGTTATTTTTCTTTCTTTTTTCTGTCTTAATGTTGGCAGTGGGCTTTAGGCTGCCCTGCAAGGCTTTAAACCTGGGTTTAAATGGAGACTAAGCCATTCTCAAGCACATATCAAGGAGCTCATTTTGAGCCTGGATCCAGATTTATTGTTGATTCTGTTCATGGTGGAGAATCCTGCTTCACAGCAGCAGGTTGAGCCAAACATCCTCTAAATGTGCAGGGTCATCTTTGAGCACGCCATTTCACTTTTCTTTCACCAGTTCACCGCAGTTCTTCCAGCACTCTGGATCCCTGAGCAAGACCCTTAAACCCTAGACTGATGCAGAAGTGAATTTCTCCACTGAGAGATAAATTATGTTTAATTATTATTATTATTATTAATGACAATGAAACAAAGCAGTATACATTCCATTATTGTAAAAAATAAATGTTTTATTATTTTACTGAAACAACAACAAGAAACAATATTTTAGAGGTCAGAGATACCAGAAAAAACATTCTCCTAAAGAAGAATCACATCTATGGATCTCAACCAGCAACCAGTCCTTATTGTAAGCATTAACAGCCGTCTTTGGTTTGACTATTAATGGAAGACAATATCCAAAAAGTCCAGATAAGCAATTTAAGAAGCTAGCAGACTTGTAAGTGAGTGAGAAAGTCTATTCCTGGGAGGAAAATGGAAGGTTGAATTTGGAAGCTAAATGTAACAGATGGTCTTGCTGTCTTTGCTCATGACAGCGATGGGGGGAAACCATGCTGTCATCTGGCCTCTGTGGAGGGCCGACAGCTTTACCTGCAGAGAACTGATCCTTAGAGTTTAAAGGGGCTTTAGTCCTAGCATAACAACAACCACCTCTGCTGTAAGTTTAAGCTGAGAGTAAAAATAAAGTGTCATAGTAAATGGATAGATAATTCAGTTCTGCTCATGATCTTGGATCTTCTAATCATTCACAAAGAGCATTTTTACATATTAACAGAGCAAAATTCACCTCGTCCTCATTAAAGGAAATTTCCGCTCAGCAAGAAAGGATCAATGGATAATTATTTATACCCAAAACGAATACTTTTTCTGTTAATCTGTAAAAAAATAAAAACAATAATTTTCGGCGCGATCAATGGCCCTGGGACCGCCCTTTCTTACCCAAATATAGTAGCCCCTCCCTCCTGCCATCTTCCGGCAGTGACGTCACGGTGCGGTAAGCCTAGCGCCATTCTCCCCGCTTTACAAGCTAAATCAATGGGAACTAGGGGTGGAAGGGTTTATGAAAACCGTCCGAACCGTTCGGTTCGACTGTCTCGGTTCGGTTCGCGTGTGTTGCGTTCGGTTCATGCGCTGCTCCTTTTTCTCATAGGCGAAGCGATTACACTCCAGAGCAGAAGGTGGCGGTACTGCGACTAAAGACTTTCATCTGGTTTGGTCTGCCGCGGTTTCCGTAGCGTCGTGAACTCGCAGGAGCGCGCTTTTAGGAAATCCTATAAACTACTGTTTATGCATTCTAAATTACTTCGTTTCGAGTAAATTATGGACGCTACCCACTCAGGACACTTGGAATACATTGGACGAGCAGTATGGAGGAATATTGACACGTTTTTTGTGGACTCTTATGGACCTTTCTGCCTCGGGCGCCATAGACCTCCATTATTTGAATGTCAGCAGACAGCAAGAAGCCTCCCAGATCTCCAGATGCATTTGAGATATCAAAAAAGTACTCCAGAGTGTTGTTCAGCATGGGGGTGAGTAGAAAATGAAGGCTAATCATGTTTTGGGTGTACTATTCCTTTAAGGAAGGAGCAAACATGTTGTAAAACCTAGATAGAAAAAGCTGCATAACCTTACCCGGTGCACACGTAGAAAACAGTGCTGCTGGAGGGCAGACAGATGTTTGGGGATATTTGTCTATGATGATTTATGACACCACTTCAAGGCGAAATAAAAGAGAAGGGAGAATATTTCATGAGAAGTTGATGAAAAATAGCTCCACTTAGACTCTAACAGGACTTTAACAAACCATTAGAGATCAGACACGTTTTGTTTGTCTCATCTCAACAAAATTAATCATTTCTGCTTATTTTGTTGCTCTACATTTCTCATGGTTGTGACTGCAGCTTTGAAATTCATCTATAAAGAGAAACAAGCCAGTTCCACAGATCAGGACAACACACAATAAATAACAGTTTGAAGGCAGCTTGACTTAAAACACAGCACTGAAACTAGGTGACATTTAAGCTGTTGCTGCAAACACTTGATCTCCGACAACAAAACGATCATGATGGTAAGGTAAGCCCCACTTGTCCACTTTCAGGCCTCTTATCATCAATTGAACTACATGAGAAAATATCGCCTTGTGAGGTAAGAAACTCCACTATAGAGGCTGCAGCAGTGCGTATCAAACCTGCTACCTAACCTGACAAAGCAATAGTGAAATATTCTCACAAGCATGTGCACTAAAATCAGCAACAAATGACGGTCGCTTTGTTTGTTCCTTGTCAGCAAATGTCAAAACTAATCTTATCTAAACACCTCAAGCGTCACACAGTAGGGAAAATTATATTCGATATTTGACAAGTCAATGCTAAAATAACAGGAAAAACACAGTTTATATTGTAAAAAAATGATTGTACCCCTGCAGTACCCTCCAAAAGCCGTCATATCTCCTCTACTTGTTTCTACTACTACTTTATTATCCATAAAAACCTGTGTATCACGAAAGAATGATGGCTATAAAGTGGAGGGAAAACCGCTGACAAACTGGTACACAAAGGGTTAAAATCTAACTCATAGCCAACAGCAATGGTCAGTATATCTTAATATCAGTCACAAAACAAACAAACAAAAATAAACTCATTCATAAAACATCCCTAGAATCTGCTAAGGCTCGCCTTCCTGAGTCATGAGATGAAGGTTGAAAGGTTCAGGCAAAATGTGGCTCTGATCCCTCCTACTGGATTGTCCATGGAGGTCACCTGTGTGTGTGTGTGGGGGGGGGTTAATGGTCGTTAGGGTGTCCTGGTTGGTCATTATCTCCCTTGTCAGAGATCTTTTGGTCATTTGCCTCATTGAAGGTGAGGGGTGAATATTCCACTTAAAATTGCTTTGTTAATTGGTCAAATTTTATGCCTGTTCTGATTAGAGATGGGTTTTCCAGGTTAACAAAGATAGCTGGTTGCCTAAAGTGAGCCTTTCAAGCTTGACCATGACCTGAGATGACTGAGGATTTTCACAGATAAGCTAAAAGATGGCACCAGTGACCAACTTAACCAAGTATTTTATGGAAATAAAGAAGAACAGCTTGGCCAGAACCATGGACAGCTCCTGTGGGACCACCACTATACCACTGTGAGCTATTCACAGGTATGATGCAGATATTTTTGATTTATGCCCAATTTTGAAGCGTTGTCTGCGCTATGTTATTTCACGCCACAATGTAAGAGGGACAACCAGGAACTAGCTGTGGGTCTAGATACGGCCGAAGCAGTGAGGAAGTGGGGGCAAGTTTGTGCGACAATAGAGGGACATGAGGGCAAAAAAAGAGCGGATACCCAGGTGGAAAAAGGGTCCCAGCGTTCTCGTACA